AAATAAATTAGCCACATATGATTTACCAAGTACTAAACATACATAGAGATATCATAATAAATTGTATTGTAAATCATGAAAATCAATTTTTAAATTAATCTAGAAAAACTAATACTATTAAATACATGTCAATATATAAAATTTTATATACCTATTTATTTAATAACATATATAAATTATGAAAAAAAAAGTTGTAAAAATAAATTAGCCACATATGATTTACCAAGTACTAAACATACATAGAGATATCATAATAAATTGTATTATAAATCATGAATATCAATTTTTAAATTAATCTAGAAAAACTAATACTATTAAATACATGTCACTAAATAAAATTTATTTAATTAAAGAATTATAAATGTTAAATTAATATAATAATTGATATACTATTCAATATAAATAAAATTTTAATTTAATAATTGATTTTTAAAAATATATATTAAAAAGTAACTTTTAAGATCAATTATTTAAAAAAATTTAAAAAAAAAATTATACTACACTGACCTCTTACACCATACCACAACTAAATCGTTTTCTTTTTTCGAACCATTATAATTTAAAACTAAGGGAAAAAAATGTTTATATGATATTATTGTAATTCAAATCTCAATATTAATTGGAATATTAAATGTACCAACTAACTACTCTATAAAACTTAATGTTACCTCAATTAAATCTTGAGAAATGTTCAATGAACTTTTGACTTTTGTTTTTTTTCTTGACTTAAGAAAATTATTGGGGATAGAGGTGTAGAATCTAGAACTAAATCTCAAGACTTTCATGTCCAGACATCGTTCTCACAAAGAGAATGACCATTAAGTTACGTAGTGCTAGACAAGTTTTTGACATGGCAAGGATTGCGACCTAAAAATATTAAGTCCAGCAAGTAATTGACCTACAAAACCTAATGCTACCTCAACTAAAAACTGAGAAATGGTCAATGAAGCTTTTGAGTTAAATGGCAAGGATTGTGCCCTAAAATTACACTTGACTAGCGACATCGGTGTCTTATTAAAGAACGTGTATTTGACGAACTTATTGATTTTGGCATGGATGACTTGACTTCAGGCAGGTTGAAGTGTTGGCACCCACAGTACCGTAGCAATAACCACGTTGGTTGAGTAATTCAAAACATGGCTAAAAAATGTCCATGGCTTGGGTTTTTCCAAAGTGACATCATGAATCTTGGCGAATCATGCAAAAACTAAAACACCCCTTCAACAAGGGCAATTTAAGGGAGAGTGAAATATCAATTGAGTTTAAATACGTAATCTACGAGAGGTGATTTTCACTTGATTAAAAGTCTCAATCAATAAGTCGGGATGTAAGAATCAGCACCCCTTCAACTTGACTAACCTAGATTTTTTTTTTTTTTGAGATATGAAGTAACTAAATAGGTCTTAAGTGAATGAATTTTTTATAATATTTTTAATTTCAATATAAATGTATTTTTTAAAATAATAATTATATTAATAATATTAATATTTATTTTTTAAAAATAAAAAAATATCAAATATGTTACTCAAATTTCATGTGATCAAAGGTGTCATGCGTGACCTCTTTAACCATACGGGTGATTGGCTGCATAAATGCTTTGTCTCTTATCAAAACTGAAGAAGGATCCATATTACTAAACAAAAAAAAAAAAAAAAAAAAAAGGAGGAAAAAAATATACAAATGAGCATAATGTCGAAATTCCACTTAATAAAATCTTCTCCATACCAATCACTTCCTATCAATTATACATTTTTTTCTTTATACACCCAGTTGCTATCGAGTTAATTTTTGAGAAAGACACATGAAATTTCTTTTGATTTCATGCATATATACATATAATACGGATTGATAACATGGGACCATATCAACCAGTTTCCTCAAACATTTATATACAATTTCATTGTACAATTCAAAATCATTTTTTCAAATTAAATTATGAATTTCTCTTCTCTCTCAAGATGAAGTATGCATCTACCAAAAAAGAGAATATCAAAAGTAAATATTTAACAGCAAAGAAAAATATATATAAATAAACACTTGTAAATGAGCAATAATGTATTTATGCTAAATTGTGAATTTATATTTATAATGTATAATTAAATAAATAGACACATATAATATCATAAGTTGTTTATCGTGCTAATCTATATCATTTCAGCTTGAAAATTTTACAAAAACTTAAGATTCAAGTTTAGTCAGTTAAATGCCAAATTTAAGCTTTAAACTTTTAATTTTGAATAATTTTAGTCCCTACATATTTTTTTTATTTATTTCCTCCATCAACTAAAAAAAAAATTACCTTTTTGAAGCTATATTGGATTTGAGAGGATGAGAGTAATGAATTTTTATTTTACCAATCAAATTATAATATTTAAAAGAATTATAATTTAATTGGTTAAAAAACCCAAAACCCTCTACTCCATACCCCTCGCACTAAACATTCTGTTAAATTTTTACACCAATTTTGTGAGACATTTTTTTGGTCTTGAACTTTTGTTTTATACACATTTTTGTGGTTAAATTAATCTTTATTGTACATTTTCAGTCCTTAAATTTTTTATGCACCTTTAAGTCGTTAAAGAAAATTTTAAAAATGTAGACAAACCTGAAAGATGAGAAAAAAAAGGGGTGTATAAAATAGTTTAAAAGATTAAACTTTTTTAAAATTAAAATTTCAAAACTCAAAATTTGGCATTTAACCAAACTAGTATCTTGTAAAGTCACATAGTCACTACTTAAGTTGGGCCTTAACCAAAACAAAGTTACCTGGGAGTTAGGCTCCACCTCTGGACTCTGTGGTCAAACTGCTCTCTAGCCAAATTCCTGACCTGCCTAACATACGTTTCAGAGCCCAAAACCCTGCTTTCAAGGGCCCTATCCAACGCAGAGATCAAATCGTCGATGGCCAAATCGGCGGCCAAACTATCGAGAACCACCTCCGATTCGCTATCAACGGCTTCAAATGCCTCTTCCGTCTCACCATTTCCCGTATTGCTCGCCGCCACCGACGTGATAGATTTTGGGTCATTAAACCTTACCCAGTTCGCTATTCTATCAGTTCCCTCTGCCAATTCCTCCACACTCTGTTTCAACCTTCTCCTTTCTTCCTCCAGCCCGGTAACCAAATTTTCGGTGAAACTAGCCCGCCGGAGCAATTCCTCCTGCAAAATAGACAGTTCTTCAATTTCAACCTGGTTTTTGGACTGTAACGCAAGAATGTCGTAGTGAACCATTCCGATGAGTCTGTCAATGGCTTCCATTTTAGAGACGAGAGAAGGGTCTGTAAAACCGGATCCGGATGCGAAAGAAAAGGGGTGGTCGTGTCTGAAGAGTTTGATTGTATTGCGGACGAGACCAGAGAGATTACACTTGGGGTATTTCCAGGTTATGATGTAGGGAGTGATGACGGCACCGGAGGAATCAACGAACGGATGGTTCCGGTGGATTGGGTTATCAGAGTCCGGCAAAACGAAGACCATGGGTGCCATATCTGGGTAGTTCTCATGGACCCAGATTGTGAAAGGAATCGACGGGGTAGAACGGGAGACCTTGACACCGCCGGTGACATTGAGAAGGTTGACGGTGGTTCCATCGTTGTGAGTGAAAGTATCCGACGATGGGCGGAAGGTGGGCTGGTACTGAAGGAGCGAGAGCAGGTGTTTCCGAATGATCCATTTTTTATCTGGGTCAGTGTAGGAAAGAGCACAAGGAGTGGCACAACAAAGTGCGGTTTCTATGAATTGGATTGAAGAAGATGGATTCATGGATGGAAGAAATTGGAACGCAGAAGATGAAGATTGCAAATGGATAATTATCACGTAAAACAACAAAAAGATCAACAGAAATGGTGCGTGGTTTAACCGTTAAAGAGTTGAGATTACAAGTAGATATCTTAAGTTTGAGATTTGGGTTGAGAGGAACCTGAGAATGAAGGGGGATTATTATTATTTTATATAATTTATAATTAAAATTTTTTTATATTGGTTATATAATAAAAAATATTTTTTTATTTTTTATTTTATTTTATTTATATTTTATACGATTTAAATTTAATATATTTTATTTTTAATAAAAAAATTATTTTATAATTTAGTACAATTTAAATCTTATCATATCATACATACGAAAAGCACATTACAATTATATAAAGACCACTTTTCATGCTTTAATAGACATATCTCCATAAATAAGAGCTTTAACCTTAAGATGAAGGTATCAGTTTGAACATTATCACGTATA